ATTTTAGTTAGTTGGTTATGTATTTTTTAAATAAAAAAAAAATTTTGAATTTACTTACTTGTAGCTGGAGTTAGAGGTGGTCAGATACTTATGACCGCTACTGTATAGCTGCTGTATCACAGATATGAGTAATCATTTTCTTTATAGCCTGAAATACAACTTGATATCCATAATTAATATCTTTTTTGATCGTTACATAACATGGTAGCTTAAATGCAGGATCAAGCTTATTAATCATACATAAAAATCCTTCTCCATTTGCTGAATTAAAAGGTTGAGAATCTGTTATTAGCCAATCAGCCAAAGCATTCCTTAATTCACGTTGCTTAGGTTCTTTATGTAACATAACTTTTTTTTATTTGATCATCTACTTTTAATTGTTTCTTAAAAGTAAAAATAATATATTAATTTAATATATATCTATTTGTAATAAAAATGCGTAACATTAATGTTGTCTTACCAATTTTTCTTTTTCAAATTCTTTATGAATAGAATTTAAATGATGTTGTTGAGTGCTGGTTTGAGTATTATACATGCAACTATAATTACATTCTTCTTCTATTCCATTTTTTAATATTTTATATTTGCAATAAGCACGTCCGTCAGTTTTGATTCCAAAATGCTTCCACATCTAACTTGTTTTATTATTTCTAAGTTCAACCCACTGAGGTTCTTGCTGATTAATATCTGAAGATAAATCAACATTATTTCTTTTAGTTAACTGGGTCGAAATAATATTAGTTTGGCGTTTATGTTTTCAATTCTGGTCTGGCATTTAAAAGGATATTAAAAAAAAATTGAATTTTTCACGTTAAAATTAAACATGTTGCAATGATCATCTGATATTTAAAAATTTAAATATTATAAATAAAAATTCCGATACTTTTGAAATGCATTTTTATGACGAAAAAAGCGAATAATGCTACAACTATGACTATTTTATTTGAAAAGCTTTAATATTAAAAGACCAGTTGCTATGTCTTAAAAATAAAAAATTTTTTCCTTCTTTTACAAATATCATTGAACTTTAAAAGGAATTTTTTTTTCTTTTTTTTTTAATAATGATATTATTTAGTTTTGTTTATTGTTTATTTATACGCCATATTATATCATAATAACATAATTGATCAAACATAATAATTGTTAATCGATCATTCATAGAAATTTAATCGATTAAAAATCAATTAAAATTAGTCTAATTTTGATCGATGGTAATATTCTGCGATCGACAAATTGATTGAAACAAACAATCATCGATCTTACTCGATTTTATTAAAAGCCCTACAACATACACATCAACTTTTTAAAAGCCTAATTTAAAGTTGTCATGACACGTTACAGCTTTAATCACCAATAAATGTAAAATTGAAAAAATAAAGTAAGCAAGAAAGAAATTATCCCATAATTCCTTTATCTCAACTCCATAAGCAATAATTCTTATATGGAAAGTTTGCTAGGAAAATAGGGCTCTGGGAATTTTTTTGACTAAAATTAAGACTTTATTACATTTTAATCTAATAAAATCAAAAACTAAAATGCAATAAAAAAACAAATTATTTGTTAAAAAATTCTCAGAGCTCATTTTCCTAGCAAACCTCCATATGAGCAGTTAAAATTTTCACCATCCAAATTGTAATTGCTAAAAATATTGTCGTTATGATTTGAGCATATACCAAAACTAGATTACATAGTAAAATCGATCCTAAGCTAGAATATAAAATAAATCTTAAAGGATTCGTAGCTCTGATTGATTGTGAAATGGTTTTTTGATGAGGGATATTTTCCATATAAAGGCAAAATTTTTTTCTTTTCGCTTGTTTAAAATAAAAAAATTATCATAAAAAAATGAAAAGTCATGGAGTCACTGAATCATTATACTTCTCTAGAATTTAATACTAACCCTATCATGTCAAAAATTATTGACATACATTTATTATGTCGAAGCAAATGACATTTATCATATTATGTGTAAAACATGCAGCACTGAAAAGTGGTAAGTTATAATATTTCCATTTTTTTTCTTATGAAGGAAATCTGTGACTCTGTTACGTGACTCTGTGACTATCTTTAAAATAAAAAATTATTTTATTTTTTAAAAAATTGTTTGCTGGTCTCCTCTTTAACCTTATTATGATACTTTTTAAATTTTCGAGTCTTTAAAATATATATACTGTTTATTACAACCGGTTCCAACTTCAAATTGTGAAAATTTTGGGATAATCATTGCATCTTAATAAATTTTTTTTAAAATACAATTATAATCAACAATACAATAATTCGACAAAAACTGAAATTGTTATTTTAAAACTTGTGAATTTAGCAAAGTACAACATCAGATTAAAAGGCCCCTTATATATCATTTTGTTGATTGTAAAATAAAATAAATTATTTGCTTTAGTAAATTTTTTTTTATTCATTTATTTTATTTTATTTTATTTTTTTTTTGTAAATGATCATTTTAAATTCGTAATTAATTAAATTAAATATTGAGATTTTAAAGGTAAAAGTAATACGTGAAATTTTGGGTTATACTACGATTGCCCGAATGCCAATTTCCCGAATATACCTTTTCCCGAAGTCCACTCGCCCGAAGGCAAATTTCCTGAATTGGACATTTTACCGAAAAGTCCAATTTCTCGAATGTCAACTTCCCGAAACCCAATTTCCCTAATTGCATGAAATATTCATTTTCCCGAACATCCAATTTCACGAATTCTAACACCCTGAACACCCAATTTCCCGAATCCCAATATATTGAATGTCCATATTCCCGAATAATCTTTCTTAAATTAATAATTAATAAAATATAATTACCTACCGCCATTGTAGTGAATCTACTGTTTCTGAAATCGTTTGTTCATTGCGGATTTCATTCAGAGTATCAAAATTTGGTCAATTCGTGAAAATGTCCATTCGGGATATGGATTCGGGAATATGGACATTCGGGATATTGGGATTCGGGAAATTGGGTGTTCGTGATGTTAGAATTCGTGAAATTGGAAATTTGATTCGGGAAAATATCTATTCAGGAAATCAGAATTAGGGAAATTGGCATTCGGTAACTTGTCTGATAAGGGAAATTTTGAACTTTAAATATATTAAATATTTTTAATATTTTAGTTCTCCCAGCAAATCAAATTCCAAATGCTTCAATTACTGAACATTTGACTCGATTTTAATATTTAAAAAGCAAAATTTCCAAATGCTTTTTATTTCCAAAATCACGTTTTAAGTAATGAAATGTAATTCGTTAATTTCTGGTATCCAAGATTTCTTAATAAATTAATGACGAAAAAAATTCTTATGCGGAGTGTAAATGAAAATATTGCCAAAAAAAGATTATAAAATTTACATTTATCAAGTAGCTAAAATAAAATGAATGCTTTGCACTTACACAAATTGATGACGCAATATAAGCTTTATATGAAATAAAATTTTCTACGAAAAGGCATATGCTATATTTTAAGTAATGTGATCGTTCGGTTTATCAAATATATAGCTTAATATACATGTTCGGTTAAGATTAGTTCAGATGCGGTGGTATATAACGTTTTATTATATGAATTCGTTATATCCAGCCTGATTAATTATAAAATAATCGGTTTTGTAATACATACATGGTTCAGTATAACGAATTTTCGGTATAAACAGGTTCGTTATATCCAGAGCCGACTGTATACTGCGGTAAGATCCACATACCTTGACAATATGTATAACTATTACATTCTGTTATAAAAGATAAATTTGTTGAAATAAATTTTTTTTTAAAAAAAAACTTTTTTTTTTATTATAAATTATAACAATGTCTAACACTAATGGTAAGAGTGTAATAAAGAAATTAAAAAATACTTTCACGAAAAGAAAAAGGAATAAAAAACATAAAGCCTCGTATGACTAAAATGAGTGAGTTAATTTAACGGTTTGATGATATTCTAAAATAATTTTTTTTTTTCATGAATTACATTAGAACCAGTTTCGGATGCTAATAAAACTTCCTTATTAGAAGGTACATGTATTATTAACCACTCTCTAATTCGTTAATAATACTCATTTTTGTTTGCTAAAATTAAATTTTATCAAATTTAAATATAGAATCAGTTTCGTTTGATGAAGGTAAATACAACAATTTCTATAAAAATTAATCAATACTAAATGAATTTGTTAATTATATTTTATAATATAGAATTAACCTTGGTAATAAAGGTGAATATAATAATAACCATAATACTGTAATTTGTCATTTATTGTTTTTATTAATTAAAATTTTAATAAACTTAAAATATAGTACTAGTATCAAGTTATAAAGGTAAATACAATAGCAAATATAATTAATCAACAAATACAATAATCTAATTTCGAAATTTTCTTAAAAATAAATACATTATAATAGAACCAGTTTCTGATACTCCTACATTAACAAGAATTAAATGGTAATAAACTTTATTTATTTATTATTTACTTATACTATTATTTAATAATTAATATTTTTTTTAAAAAAAAAATTTAACAATGCTAATACTTAAATTGTAAACTATTTAATTTTATTATATTTTAATTTATAAAATCTAAATTTAATTAAACTATTATTTAGAAATATTTAATAATCAATAATACTATAAGGAGTAAGTTATTTGTTATTTATATTTTAATTTAAACTTAATTTATTATATAATAATTTTTAATGATAATTAATAATATTTTTAATTGATAAATTATTTATTTATAATTTTTATTTAATATTTATTATAATTTATAAATAAAATTTTTATTAAAAATTAAATATTAATAATATTGATGGTAGATTATTTTTATTAATTCAATTAACTATATATTTTATAATTTAAAAAATATATATTAATATTCTTTATAATATTACAGAAAATAAGATATTTATATTGTTTTATTATAATTTAAAGTCAACTAAATTTTTATTTAAATAAATAATTGATAATATAATAGGTAATAAGTTATTTTTATTGATTGTTAGTATTTAATTATACTTATTATTATAATTTAAAGTCAACTTAATTTTTTATTTAAAAAAAATAATTTATAATTAATAATTTAGATATTAAGTTATTTTTATTATTATCAGTATTTAATTATACTTGTTACTATAATTTAAAGTCAATTATATTTTTTTATTTAAAAAATAATTAATAATATAATAGATGGCAAGTTATTTTTATTGAATATTAGTTTTTATTATACTTATTACTGTAATATAAAGTCAACTAAATTTTTTATTTAAAAAAATAATTAATAATATAATATATGGTAAGGTATTTTTATTGATTATCAGTATTTAATTACACTTGTTACTATAATTTAAAGTTAACTAAATTTTTTATTTTAAAAAATAATTAATAATAATAATTTAGGTTGTAAGATATTTTCATTAATTATTAGTATCTAATTATACTTTTACTATGATTTAAAGTCAACTAAATTTCTATTTAAAAAAAAATTAATAATTTATAATTTAGATTGTAAATTATTTTTTTTGATTATCAATATTTAATTAAACTTGTTATTATAATTTAAAGTTAATTAAAGTTTTTATTTAAAAAATTTAATAATATAATAGAAGGTAAGTTATTTTTATTGACTATTAGTATTTAATTATATTTATTACTATAATTTAAAATCAAAAAAATTTTTTATTTAAAAAAAATAAATTTTAATTAGAAAGTAAATTATTTTTATTAATTATCAGTATTTAATTATATTTAATATTATAATTTAAAGTTATCTAAGTTTTTTTTTTTAAAAATAATAAATTTTATTAGAAAGTAAGTTATTTTTATTGATTATCAGTATTTAATTTTACTAGAAGTCTGAATCGTTCAATCTGTAGTCAAATTATTCAAATATGGCTAACTGATTATAATGATCAATTAGATGAAAATTTTGATCAGTTATTCAGTTATTTAATCGATTATCACCAATTATTAATAAATAACTGGATAATTAAATATTCATAAATTGTTTAATAAGCATGCAACATATAAATTAATTAAAGACATTCAACTTCAAATATTTTTTTCATATTTTTTATTCATTCAAATTTTGTTTTATAAAATAAAATGAGTTTAATACAATTTACAATAATGATATTTCTCAGAATAAAAAATAATTCTGAAAGATTCATTTGATGATAGAGATTAGAACTGATTAAAACAGTTAATATATTAACCAGTTAATGATTTTTTTTAACAGTTAAATAGATGAATTTAGTTCTAGCCAAAATACAATTTTTGGCTAGAATTAAGATTTTTATGATTGCAAAATATTATCTAACTCCAGCCAAATTTATAGGACTAGCATAAGTTAATTTTAACCATATAACAAATATTTTTAACTGATCATCAACCAGTTAAAGAATTTTAGTCAGTTTTAACCTCTTTTTAATAAAAATATTAATCTGATTATAGTAACTAGCAAAAAATAATAGTTGGAATAATTAGTACAATATAATTTGTTATTATTATAAAGATAAGTTTAGAATATATTTTTTGATTTAATTAATATATTGATGATTTAGTTCTTTTAACTAACCAGTTATTCAAATAATCTGAATAATTTGAATAATTATCATTAATTTACAATTAATTTGAATAATAATTGATTATAAATTTTATGAACAATTGATTAAATCAAATACTAAAATTTTAACTAATATAGACCTCTAAATTATACTTATTATATCAATTTAAGTCAACTAAATTTTTTATTAAAAAAAATATAGTTAATAATTAATAATATAATAGATAGTAAGTTTTTTTTTATTAATTATCAGTATTTAATTATATTTATTAATATAATTTAAAATCAATTAAACTTTTTATTTTAAAAAATAATTATTAGTATATAGATAATAAGTTATTTTTAGTATTTATTATATTATTACTATAATTTAAAGTTAATTAAATATTTATTATAAAATAAAATATTATTAAAGAATAAGTTATTTTATTAATTATTAGTATTTAATATATTTTAAGCTACTAAATTTTTTATTTAAAAAAAATTAATAATATAATAGATGGTAAATTATTTTTATTGATTATCAGTATTTAATTATACTTGTTATTATAATTTAAGTTAACTAAATTTTATTTAAAATAATTAATAATATAATAGATGGTAAGTTATTTTTATTATTATTAATATTTAATTATATTTATTATTATAATTTAAAATCAACTAAATTTTATTAAAAAAAAAAATTAATAATATAATAAATGGTAAGCTATTTTTATTAATTATCAATATTTAATTATACTTATTACTATAATTTAAAGTCAAATATATTTTTATTTAAAAAACTAAATTAATAATATAATAGATAGTAAGTTATTTTATTGATTATCAGTATTTAATTATACTTGTTACTGTAATTTAAAGTCAACTAAATTTTTTATTTAAAAAAATAAATTTTATTAGGGCATAAGTTATTTTTATTGATTATCAGTATTTAATTACACTTATTACTATAATTTAAAGTCTACTAAATTTATTTAAAAATATAATTAATAATTAATAATTTATATTGTAAGTTATTTTTATTAATTATTAGTATTTAATTAGATTTGTTATGCAATTTAAAGTCAACTAAATTTTTTATTTAAAAAAATAATTAATAATTAATAATTTAGATTATAAGACTGTTTATTGATAATTAATATTTAATTATACTATTGTAAGACTATTTATTGATAATCAATATTTAATTATATTGTCAATGTATTAGTAATTATAATAATTCATAAATTATAAATATAAATTTTTTTAAGATTCATTAGATTCATTAATAATTTATTT